CAGGGTGCTGGGAGACTACCCACAGGTGCTACAGCACCGTCACCCTCTGGGGGCACTGCAAGACTTGCCATACAATACCTATTGATCCTAGTAAAGATTTAATTTCACCAACCCCTTTTTGGCACTTCGGTTCCCTATCCAGCTTGTCAGAACCATCTGTAGGTGACATCTGCTCTTTGACATCGGGGTGTACCACCTACAGCTGCAGCCTTCCTGGAAGCCTTCCTACAGCTGGACTGGCTCTAAAGCGAGATCCGTGCGTTTTCCAAGCTGCCTTATTTTGCACAGTGACCTTTCATATATTTGAGATGCACTAAGATGTTCTGCATCTGCTCCGACTTAGTAATCAAGAAATCACTTTCACGTCCCAAACACGTACCGTATTAGTCAAGGCTCTCCTCATGCCCTCTTGCAGCGAGACAGAAACATCTCTACAGGAATTAACACAGTCGTCCAGAAACTGTTATTTGATCAAGAGGGTGCAGTCCTTCCCTTCGTTCTGAATTCCTCACCCGGGGCAGAAAAGGAGTGAGCAACAAGCAGAGACACAGAGCGGCAGCTCCCACCAGCACCCTCCCTCCGAAAGGCAATCTCTCCTCCCGCAGCCAGGCCCTTCTCCTGCTCGAATAGCTGAGCGTGTCGGAGCACGCTCTCCCTCCTCGAGCCGCTGCCACGGGCTGCGGAAAGGCACTCGGGGAATGCCAAACGCCAAACACGTCCATCTCGCCGCGAGCCCCCAAGCTTGCCGAGGCAGCTGGTTTCTCAGGACGTGCTCCCCGAGGAAGGAGTCAGGGTGGGGAGAGGCTTATTCCTGGCTGTTGCAGAAGGAGGGCTGCAACAGAAGCGCTTTGAAGGCATGCGGGTGCCACAAGGCCGTCTCGCCTCCCAGGCTGCTTCGCTAGACAAGCCAGCTTCTTCCAAACAGACACAAGCAACTTAATCACCAGCAAATAGGACTGCGACAAAACCTACACTCGGACTGCAGAGCAGGACCCAGGAGGCTGACCCCGCAACTGTAAGCGGTCTGATGGGTAACCTCCAAACCCCGACCTCGGGCACCCAGCAACGCCGCCTCTCCATGCCAGACCCAGAGCAACATGTTCGCCCGTGCTTTCTGAGGTTTTGCTGGCTTTCTCGTTTCTGATCCATCGCCATCCTCAAGGCTCAGGCCAAAAAGGAGCTCCGAAGGTGCCTTGCTAGCACCTGAACTTCGACCTTCCTCTAGCTGGCCTCAAAACAGGCCCAACGACGACTTCCCTGCAGCATTAAGTTCTGCACTTCAGTAACCATGTTTAGATCCACTGTGCTACCACTAGCCACTGCTCGGCACAGAAAGTAGGGTAATGGAGGGGTCCTCAGCCTGCCCAGGGCAGATTTGGGATCACAAGGCACCCGGTGAACGTGTTGACAGCCTCTGTTTAGCAGGAAGCAGCAGGCTTGAGACCAGTGAAGGTCTGCAGGGCCTTCCCCAGGAAACCCAGGTAGATCATCTTCCAATGGCATCGGCCCTGGGGACACAGGGTGAACCCACCGCCTGGCTCATCCCACCGTTGCCACGTTAGGCCGAATCAGCAGCGGTAACAGGTTTGGCTGTCCACGCAGATGTGTATCACACACACAACATCATGATGTGTACCAAGCTTAGCCTACAAGCACGGGCGTCTCCCCTATCAGATCATTTCTTGAATTCTTAACAAACACCTCCGCGCTGCAGGACACAAGGAAGCACGCCCACCCAACAGTTATCCTTGCTACTAGCTTGGCTGTCCTGTCGCAACCAAACCCATGGCCGGGCAGATCCGCTGCTGTATTTGTTGCGCACGGTTTGGAAAGACGGAGTTTTGCCCTGACCCTGCCACGTCGCTGCAGCGAGGGGAAGGATCGCGGTCCCCAGCCCCAGCTCCTCCCCAGAACTTCATCTCTGCAAGTGGCATAGCAAAGAGCTGTAATTTTAAAGGATGACTAAGTGTTGAAATATCAGCAGCTGATTAACAGCAGCTTGCTAAAGCTTAATTCCTAGTTCAGATTTTTTTCCCCTCCCCTGCTCCCTCCCTGGAGCCCTACCTCGGATTTTTATTTATGCTTTTAGCATTCCTTGCAAGCTTAGCTCGCAGGACCGCGGCCAAACTTCAAAGCTGAACGCCTCTCTGTCCCCTGCGGGGCGGCAACGTTAACCCTGCGGACAGAGGTGGCTTACGCAGCGCTCGCTTGCGGATCCACGAACACAACAGCCTGCTTTTCCCGACAGGAGCGGGGCGGAAGGGCCAAAGTCCACCCACACCCTGCTCGCTGCAACTGCAAAGAGCCATCGCCGACCGCTCCATCGCAGGAGGTATTTCCTGATCGGCGGGCTAAACATAACTAGTAAAAACAAACGTAAAAAACACACACACAAGCTCTTAGCAGTTATAGATATCAACTCCTCTGAGAGCCCCGATCGGGTAATTAGAGATACCCAGAGCAGAACTCGTTGCGAGGGTATCGCGTTTTTCACGAAGGGCCTCGTCAGCACTTGTTCCTGCGGTGGCATCTTGCAGCGCAAGAGATAAAAAACAAGGAACAAAAAGGGGCCGGGAGTCGATCGGTAAAAACAGGAAGCTGCAAAAAACCGCGTGGTCACAGCGGCAGCGAGCAAGCGTTAAAAAAGCAGGCACCCAGGGGTTGTGTCTTTACTACACGGTACAAAACGCAGGCCGTCTCCGGAGGTCCAGCCAGGGCGTCAGTCCTCCGCAGACAGACCCCCGTCGTCTCCCCCTGCAACACACACACACACAAATACGGCAACCGATTTACAGCCCGCCAAAGCAGCGTTAAATTGAATTTCGCAACGGTGAGACAGCGGACGAGAGCACTCCCGTCCTCAAGCAGAACGGCACCAGTTTTTAAGGGGTTTTTTTTTCCCCTCCCGCCTGCCTTGAGCCGGTCTCAGCAGTTAAGTGGTGCATCTAAACCCTGCGCATAGGCCACAAGATTATCTACCGAACCACGTTTTTGGAGGGTTGTGGCTTGAGAAAGCAGCACAGGTATCAAAACACTTGCTCCTGGGCGAGGGAAGCGCTTAACAGCACCTCTGGCTTCTCAGATTTAGGGAAAGCACCGGTGGATCATTTCAGCCAAAGCACGAGCCTACGGTCCTTTTTTTTCAACAGGCTGAGAAAGTTCAGCTACGCTGCTGGAAAATGAAACTCTTAAGATGAAGCCAAGCCTTTTCCTGGCATTCTAGATCGCGTTCAACACACACATCCGATTGCAGCTGTAGAAAAAGGACATTCAACAAGCAGAAAGCAGCAAAATCCCTAGATGGGCTGAAGTTTAACCGTAAAGCTAAGAATCCCCTCGGCCAAACGCGTGCTTCAAACGTTTCCTGCAGAGCAGATCTTGCTCTAATTTGCTTTGCAAAGTTACACGCGGATCCTGACAAAACAGGCAATATATGGATAGGCGGACAAAGCTCTACAGACTACTGCAGAGGAATCCAGCTGGAAAGCCTTTCTGTTCACCCCCAAACCTGCCTCCCACAAGGCATTACCCGCCGGTATTTCAGGAAAAGCCCTGGGACTGCATTTGGGGGCAGTTTCACGCATCAGTACAAAACTGGCCCGAGACGGGAGTTCCTACTCAACGCTGCTCTCATATAACCTCGGTGAGGTTTCAAGGACACTACCCGCAAACCCAGGAGGCCTTTGCTGAACCCGCCGCTGCCCACGAGATGAGCGATTGCTAATAAGCACTTGGGGAAAAAGCGCTTTTTCCAACTTGGCAGCAGCCAGACTGAAGACCGAGCGTGAAACGGCATCACCTCTGGCACGCTCCGGGCTGCTCAGCAATGGTTAAAAAGAAGCAATCCCCCGTCTGAAAGCCAGTCAGTGTTGCAGACTTTTTTTTTTTTTTCCTCCTCCCCTCAAGATTTAGCTAACCAGAATTCCAGTTTTGGAATAACAACGCATCGCTGATAGCCCAACGATGCCGGCTCATCCTACGGCATAGACACAGGCCCGCTGCTCCTTGCCAGCGGGCCACGGCGCTCTGCACCCCCTGCCTAGGCAGCGGATCAGGTAGCAGGACAGGAACGCGAGAGCTGTTTATTCATTATTCATCACGCCCAAGATCTCTAACTCTTGTTTCAGCTTCAGCCCAGACCTCATACCTCTTCCGGCACAAAAGTCGACGACAGGGTTTATAAACAAAGTTTAGCCTCAGCCGTCGTTCTTGAGAACTGCTCCCAACCCCAAATTAACACGAGCGGTTCTCGAGAACGCAGCCAGCTTCTGCCGAGAGTTATTCCTCAGCAGGAGCAGAACTGAAAACGCGCGGGCTTGCGAGGGTTTTATTCTACTTTTCTCAGCAGAGCCCACGTGGTTGTCTTGCAGCAGCGGCTCGGATGCACAGCCCCTGCAGAGGCGGCTGCTTCCGGGTAAGGCGATGGGAAAAGATCACGTCCTGCAATCCCAAACCCAACTTAACCCCCTCATCGTTTCTAAAGGACACCTGACAGTTTTTTTTTTTTTTTTTTTACTTACCAACTGAACAGTCGGCTGTTGCTGCCAGGAGTGACACCCTGCATTGATTAGCTTTGTGCTTACACCTTTCGGTGACAACAAAAGAACTGCAGTTTAATAGCCACACGTAGCCTGTGCAGCCCTTGGGCCTCCGCTCATGAAAAACAAGCTCCGCACGTAAAACGATACAGGCGGAGGTGACAAAGACGGAGCAAGGGCTGTCAAATTCAAGGGAGTCTAAACTGCATTTGTACTCCAGGTGCTTCTGCTCAGCATCACCTTCCCCTTGCTACCCCCCAAAAGGGCTGCAAAGTCCACCGTGGGGTTTTTCCTCTTTATTGCCCCCATTTCAGTTCGTTTACACCAAGAGATTGAATTCAGACACACACACATACAAAATTTGCATGGTAGAAGCCAAAGAAAGATCCTAATCAGCAAACAAGAGACCAGCACCGGAACAACACATACAAGAGAGATAAGTTGGAATAAATGAATAATTACTTGTGCCTGGCAGCCTCTTCTTCCTCGTCTTCTCTGAACTGCTTCTTCTCACGTTCGCCACCATCCTTATTCTGGAAGAGCGAAAAGTTGATTTGTGAGGCCCCGGCCTTTCTGGAAATCATAGAGAGCAAATAAAAACCCAGGGCAGACCCGCTCGCAGAGGGCCCAGGGCAGGCAGACACCACCATACTGTCGGGAATTACCTTTAAATCACAGAGACCTCTTAAAGCAAGCCTGCTTTCCCTTCGCTCCTTTTAGCGTTCTGCTTGTACAGACGGCATGATAAACCAATGTAAGAACGGGCAAGGCAAATCAGATTTCCTGCTCGGAGGCAATCATGTCGCTCAGTGCCGAGAGTCCCCTTGTTACTGGCAACCGCATCAATTCGGAGAGCAAGCTGCCATCAACAGCAAAGCTCAGGAACCTCATCCCGGTGTTAAACGGCAGAGCAAACCGAGATCGGGACACTGCAGGAACCGAGCAAACCAAGGCGGACAGACAGCAGCCACGTACACCTCCACCACGTCCCGGCGGCAGGGCAGCGATCCGAGATCGAATCCCGCGCTCCCGGAGCATGCATCCATGCTCGTTTGGCTGAGTATATCGTTACGGAAAATGCAATGAATGAGCCGCTTCCTTGCGAGCGGTTTCTTTTAGGATTGAACTCCCTCGTCATGCCCAAAATGAAAAGTTAAATGCGGCAGCCAAGCTCCCCCCAGGGAAATCTGTTCAAATTCCCTCTCCGACCCTCACAGAGGTGGGACATCCCTCTGCTTGGAAAATTGCAAACGTGAATTGATTATGACCAGTGCATGACCGACATCAACCCGGAAATAACTTGCACTAGCTGCTAGCTGGGTTAACCAGCTTCGCTGGAAAGTTCAGCCACGTAATACCCATCTTCCAGGTACCAAAACCATCCATTTACCAGAGCAACCTATTTCTAGCCCCCAAAAGGATCAGAAAGGTTCCCCAAGCGAACAGCTTGCTTAAGGTGTGTTTCTTGAGTATCTAAACTTTAAAACCCTCTGCTCTGTGGCCTGGGTTAAAAACCAGATGACGTGCAAGCAGAGCCAAGCCAGGAAATAGTTCAGTTCTCGTTCAGGCTCGTCTTGCTCTTTGTTCTCGCTAGAATTTTTATCTGTGGTGGTTATAAGCAGGTTCTGAAATACTGAAGACATAGACGGCAAAAATATTCGTGTTACTATGAATACTGCGGCTATTCTTGCAGTCCTAAGACTGCATTTTTTTGCACCACTCCAAATCTTTTTTTTCCCCCCTATACGTTGAAATACAGCTCTCCTGAAAATACCGTCTCGGAGCGTGCTGGACAGTCACGCTGCCCTTAGGTGACACGAGAACAGTGCGAGAGTCGCCCTTGGGAGATCGAGCTGGAAAGAAGATACGGACGCCGCAGCGGCAGGAACGGGAGGACGTAGGATAATGAGGATCGTGGCCCGGATCAAGGAGACAGCCTATCTCAAAACGCACGTAACCATTTCCAGCTTGCTCATCACGGCCATGAACGCACCCCCTAAATTATACTCCCTTTCCTGCCACCATCCGCTGCTAATCAGGCTCCGCCAGACGGATCGGCATGAAAGTGCAAGGCAGACGAGATGTGAAATGAATGTCTGAAGTCAGGCCTTCCCCTCGCTCCAGCCCACGAAATTAATGCCGGGCCCCCGTTTGCAAAACGGGTTGTAAACAAGATTTCGGTTTCAGTAGCACGGTGACTAAAGCCCAGCAGTAAGTCACGGGGCAGAGGCAGCGCGTGGCAAACAGGGCAAAAACCCCAGTGGCATCAAAACTGCTCGCAGCTTCGCGGAGAGGCCGCTTGTCACCAACTCCACCAAAAAAAAATTTTACCAAAAAAAAAGGGGGGGGGTGGTTTGCAGGCTGTTTCTAAAGCAACAGGAAAACGTGATCAACGCAGCTGAGCCGGATCGCTGCTGCTTTTCAGACTGCAAGCAGAAAAGCTCTGCGCCTGCGGCGGCTCTGCACTGCCTTCCCCCCACCGCGCTCCTCGCCCGCAGCTTACCGCGAGGGCTTCCTGCGCGACCTTCAAGCGCTCCGACACGCGCAAGCTGACAAAAGGCAAAGTTAAAAGACAACAGCGGGTTACACTAGATGCCGTAGCGAAGGAGGCATCGTAACTCTCTGAAAATTTTATATAAACTGAGGCTCCAAACCTCGCCGTTTTTTATACCGCAGCAGGTCACAGGGCTGGCGCAAGCGGATGGTATGACTAGTGGTCCCTGGCAGGGCAGGCTTTGCTGAACATCCCTCCTCTGCTTTCCATGCTTCCTTACCCAAAAAGCCCCTAGAGAAGGCTGGAGTTTCCAGACGCTGCTGTACGAGAAAGTTGAACTTCCAGTTACTGCGGCAGAAAGAGGCAATTAAAAGCGCCTGTAGCCTTAGAGACGGACTATGCACAAAGGCAGCGGGACACGGGGAAGAAAGGACTAATTCAACGCTCGCAGCAGCTTCATCTGTGCTTCACCTTAGGCAGAGGTCACCCCCCCCTCCGTGAACAAGAGACGTCCTCCGTGGTTCGACAAGTAACGTTCATCAGTCCTATAAGTTTACCCGGTTAAGACTGTGGGAAGCCTCCTTGCTCACAACACCTTGGCATGAGCTTAGGTGAGAGCCAGTAGTATCCAGAGTCATCAATAACTAGAGCAAAAAGGGGGAAATAACTTTCCCTGGACACTCTGCTCAGCTCGGAAACGGGTGACCAACTGCCCTTCCAAAGGGAGGCAACGTGCGTTTTCAAACGCCACCTCTTCCCCGCCGCGCGTGCCCCGCCGCACAGGCAACGGTGCCAGCATCTCTAGCGTTACTGGAATCCGCCTCGGGCTACAGGAACGCGGAGGGTTTGGAGGGTATTCCCTCGCCGGCCGTTCCTGCAGGCGTGGGATCACATGGAGCTTGCAGTGTGGATGCGGCGCCTCCTCAGGAGCAGACCTGTTTCACAAGGCAGGTCCTAAGAGGTCAGAGCCGCTCTTCACAGCGGGCAAAGAGAGGCAGAGCACGCTCAGGGCCGAGCGAGCTGAGTCAGAAACGCCCCATAGCACTGAACCCTCTGCAGCCACGTGGTGGAGTCGGATCTCATGACTGTGATCATTTATTGATAGGGGGATGGTCTCTTAACCGTGCAACTTATCTCACGGCTCCATGTTCTACCTCGGCCTCATCTCCCTTCTCTTTCCAACCACCTGCCCACGCTGGATTTATCCGATCACTCAACAGCACCTCGATGCAGCAGCGGTGTCTTGTGGTTCTCCACTTTGCTTGGCCTTTTTCTCCCCTCAAGGTCTGCCCTTCATCACCCTCTTCAAATATTTCTGTGCAACAGCTGTGTCACAACTTTCATTTCGTCAGCACAGGAAAGGGAGTGCTCCTCCCCAAGACAGCGTTCGGCCTAATTATTGGCTCATCCTTCAAGTGTTTTCTTTCCCTTTGCTTGCTGGTGGCCACTTTCCACAGGTGCGCAGCAATAATTCAACTCTTCCTGCTTTTCGGTGCAGCTTCCTTTTCTCACATTTAAGAATCTAACGCCACAGGAGGAGCCAAAAATAACCCTTTTGCCATTCTACTCTCACTCTAGCAATTCCTCTTTTCAAGGCACCCTGTGGTGAGGTGTTTATTATTAGCTGTAAGTCATAAGATTGGAGACACACGTACAACTCTGGTCTACAAGACCATTCGCCAACTGCCTGTAAACAGTCATTCCCAGTCCTTCAGTCTCCTGGAAGGAGACGGCCCAAAGATAAACTGCCAGCCTTAAAAAGCTTGCTCATTCATAGTCTCCTAGCTATTTAATTCACAGACATCTCAACTGGCAACCCACGCCCTCGGCTTGTAGCTACCAACATGAAGACTTTTGCTTTCCTGGCTGCCACTCTTCCCAAAGAGGTCTGAGATGGAGTCTAAACTGCTGCCTATTCAAGGCACGAGTCCAAGAACATTTGCATCAAGTTGTTCAAAGAAGGGTGTCAGTTGCCTCTTTGCAACACCTGCAAGGCCCTTAGCAAACTTTCCACGGGATCAGGTAATAGCCTATGCTCTTGGCCAAATACATACGGGGAGTTACATGCCATCTGCAAGGTTGAGAACTTGCAAAACTTGGGGTACAAGCCAGGTGATTTGGTCAGCACTGATGCTCTGGGTTGCTCTTCTCCCGGGCAGCACCAGGCAGAGAAGAATACATTTGTGCATGCAATATTCAGTCAAGCTGGACAACATAGCAAAAACACTTTGCAAGCACAAACAAGCGTTTACATGTATCAGGAGCCCAGTGAAGAGGGAGGCTCTCCTGGGTCATCACTAGGGAGAGGAGTCCACATCCTGTCACCGCCCGCAACCCGCAGTCCTGCAACAACTGGATTTTGTGGGGTTCCCACGGCAAAATAACAGGCTACTGCAGCATTTTGGGCAAAGCACCACTAGGTTTCACTTTCTGTCACTTCCTGACTTCAAACAGGAGCATCACAATGCAAGAGGTAAGTCATGATAATCAACAGAAGGGAACATGGTCACAGAAGGCATTGCTATCACTTCGTCTCCTGGCATATAGCAGAAGTTTGCATATGAAATCACAAAATAGACTACTTCTTCCTCCAGCATGGCAATCTCTCCTACCCATCCTTTGCTTCCCTGTGTCCTGCTCAGGGCCAAGTCCCAGCCAGCACCGTGTGTGGGACAGGCCTTCGTCACCAGAAAGACGAGCGCCTGCTCTGGGGCACACGGACAAGATTTGGACAAATACTAAAAACTTTTCCCCGGGCTCCAGTATGTTACCATGACTTTTCTTCCTGGTAGGATCCTGCCAAGCTATTCAACGCCTTCCACTGTAAGGACAAGGGAAGCAGGTTGTCGCTTTGCGTTGCATCCACAGATTTAAGGCCAAAAGGGATGTTTAAACCATCTACCCTGCCTTACGAAACACCTACGATCAGGGAAGCCTCACCCAGTTATCCCTGTACTGAGCCCATCCACATCCGAGTAAAGCATCTTTCCCAAGAAGGGCAAAACGAGACAATCTTGTCCTGAAGACAAAAGAATGGATGTTCCATCTGCTAACAGCTTCACTTAAAACCTGTGCAGTGATACAGTTTGTTTCCAGTTGTTGGTTCCTGTCGTCGTTCACGATTCAAGAGTGCTTTTGTATGAGACACCTCCAAAGGGCGAGGATACTTGTGCACTGTAATCGACAGCGCTTCTCAAACCTCTGTGATAAAGCACCATACTGAGCTGCCAGGCTCAGGTGCTGAGGCTCTCTCTCCCTACCCCCACACTCATTTTTTTAAGATGTCTTAAAATATGCTGACAGGAGGCAGCACCCTAGGAGGGGGGAAAGCCGTTCCCACCTCACCTCGTGCCCAAATCCAGGAATCGGCGCTGGCCCCTTCGTCTCGTGACTCTGAACCCAGCAACCCCGAAATCCTCTTCGGCATTGCCGGTTTCCAGGACGGGAACTGATTCTGCAGATTAACCCCGCGTTTTCCCCACAAGGATGCCCAGGGCATGTATCTGCACGCATCGCAACCCCGCTTCGTTTCAAAGGGCTCATTCCGTCCCAAACAGACTCAGATCGTTACCCGGAGCTCCCCCAGCCTTTGAGTCACCTGCCTGCAAGAAAGCGGAAAATTCACACACATTTCCAAATGACTAATGGAAATACTGGGTGCACAAGAGTCACAGGCCCCATAAACACTTCTGTTGGGTGACGGGTCTCCAGTGACACCTATTAAGCTCTCAGTCACCTCTCCATCCCCTTTGCCTGCTTGCTTAGCAGTAGCGTTCGCGTTCTCATTTTCAGTCAGCATGTTGTGCAATACGAACCTTTCTCTAAATCAAATTTACGTGACAAAAGTTACGCTCCCTTTCTCTCACACTTAGGTAAATGAATTGCAAGTCAATCTTTTAATCGTTTTGCTCAATGCTGATTGACAGCCTAGCTGGCTTCACCCGACTTATCCCTCTTACCTTTAAAGGGTGATATTTTAGTCGCACTCTTCCAGTCCTTTGGAATTTATCCAGTATTCAGAAAAGATTTAAATCAAAACGCAGCAGGCTAACAAGCTCTTCAGCTGATTATTTTAGGATTCCGGGGTGTAAATTACCTGCGACTGCTGATTTTAAGTGTTTTTGCTAGAAGACGTCTAATATCCTCTCATCCCTGTTGGCCTGGAAAGCAGCTCATCGTTCCTATACGACACAAGGGTGTCACTTAACTTCTTTCCAAATATGCTTTATACATCAAAGCTTATGTTTATTTCTTCCTCTCCACCATCTTTTAAAGATTTCTATACCAAGAACCGTCTCCCCTCTAATCACAATTGGCCTTTACCCAAAGTGACCCTTTGGGTCAAAGACCTTCCTTACTGGGCACTGTCCTGCCAGGCCAGCTACACGGTGAGGACACAGCTCAGTGCCTTCAGAGCGGACCACGTGCGGGCACTTTTTACTTGCCGCTTTGCCAAGATTTAAGTCTAGATGCCCTTGAATCCTGGCAAGGCGCTGATGTGCAACCCTGCTTCCACCTCACCGCTTTTGGGGGATGCTTAAATCCGGCAGCCCCAAGAACGCAAAAAAACTAAGAGTCATGAAATGCCTCTCTCCATCTTTGAGTAGCTGCAGGTTTCTACTGGCAATAAAACGCCTCTGAAAACCAGCAGCAGTTTTCATTCTATTACAAGTAGCCAAAAACGAAGAACGTATTGTAAAATTTTACAGCAAGACGTTCTGAACATTAAAACGTCAATAAAGCGTACTCAGGACCTGAGATCCACTGATATTTTCCAAAAGCTACTTGGAAGTCATTTGCTCATGGCAGCCCTCGCGGTAATTGCATAAAAACATGATTTTTAAGAGCCTGAGCTTCTGTGTCCCTGCTGCTTTTTCCTTATTGAAGTCATAATCCTGGTTCAGTCATCGCTGGTTGCCATGGAAATGGTTAAATCAGAGATTGAACAGTGTGACTTCACGGAAGAAACAAACACAAGGAACAAAATAGCCTCTGAAAACTGAACACCTCCTTTTCATGCCCGTGCCTCCAAAAATAATAATTCCAAAACGAAAGCTATTTTTAATACTTTTCTATTATTGCGTTGTTTATATAGTAAACAAGCACAAATATTTCCTCCCTCTAGATAATCCTAAACAACTCCTAAATGGCTATGGTTTGCTGCTTTATAGATACCTATTAGTGTGACTCCAGGACCCGAGTGTTTGCGTTTCCAACGCCGCTGTTAAATAGCACAGACTGATGAACGTGTTTGGCAGCTGGCAGCGAGCTGCTGTCCCCACTGAAAGTAGTGGGGCAGATGTTCCCCTGAGATCAAAACTACTAACACTTTTTGAAGAAACTACAGTGAAAATACACAAGTTTCAATTAGACGCAGAAAGTCTGAGGGGAAGAAACAGGAACTTCTGGGCAGGAAGAACAAGGCATTTCAAAGACAAAGCACTATTTTAGGCCGTGAAGAGCTAGAAAAGCCACGAACAAACTTCTCCGAGCCAATACAGGAGAACCATCACTATTCCCTTCCAAGCAGGGCACCGTCAAAGCAAAACTTTGAGCTGTCCAAAACAAGAGCCTCGTGGGGCTGGCGGGAGGAAGCTGGCTGAAACCCGGAGCGCGTGGAGCCCAAGGCTTCAAAACGCACTAGCGAAGGACGCGTCCAGTTTCACGCTAAATTTGCTCAGCATCATCCATTTCAGATAAGCTCTTACTCCGTCCTCCCCGGGTTTTTAAAGATTTTAAGTCTGCGTTTCGTTCCCCATCCTCACCCCAGTGTTTTTCACGATGCCGATCCAATCGGGTCAGCGCCGCTTGCGTCAGCGCAAGATGCGACGCTCCTGTAGCGATGCGCGCGGTAGGCGGTTATTAGAGGCGCGTCGTCACCGCCCGCAAACCCCGTGCGAACGAAGAGTCCTCTCCCAACCGCTGGGCCAAGCGTTGCCAGTCACCACCTCTCTTCACGCAAAAAAGGGAGGCTTCCCTTCCTTCGAACTCGCGATCGACGGCGAAGCTGCAGTCTCTGGTTGGCGAGACGGCGCCCACTGCTCAAAAACCAACCAACCAACAGAAATAACCTGCGCTCTTCGGTGGGAGGCAGCAGGGATCCTCAGCTTGCTCTCGGGGAAACGCTGTCGCTTGAGGGAGAACGGCTGGAGCTGCCAGGTGGCAAAGGCAGCGACACCATTAACGGCGGAGAGGTGAAGTGGGGCTTCTCTGATGTCCGAGTCTAAAAACCTTCCCCAAGGCAAAGCGACGCAACCAGAGGCAACGCCTAAAGCGAAACCTAACTCTGAGTCTGCAAAGATGCAAGGAAAGCATCCGGCCTTGAAACGGCCGAACAAACGTAACTCGTGCGTTTGGAGATACGCAGTAAAGCGTCGCTCCCTAATATCCACTAATGTTAGTGATGGTAACAGCAATGGTAAGTTTTATGGGTTTTGTAGGCCGCCTTCATTACACAGGAAAGCAATAAACTGAGACGACACAACCACCCCTTCTGACGAAGCCATGCAGCCACCGGGAAGGGAAGACCGTCGCCATTTATGCTATCAGCAATGAAACTTATTTACTTGAATCTGATACCTTAACGTGCTTGCAAGATTCACCCTCTTCCAATACAAAGCAGTTGATTTACAGTACCTTACATTCAGGAATCACCCGCATCCCTCAAAAGAAGCTTTTAAACTCAAGAATTAATCCATGCCAGGCAGCATGCCTGTTCTCACCTCCACCCCTTTCCCTTAGCTAAACCACATAATCCCTTTCCGCTACCCAGCAAAGAAACAAAACCAAAAAAAAAAAAAAAATCAGTTAATTTCAAGTCAGGAAGCTGCCGGCACCTTTAGCAGATTGGGACAACATTTCAGTCGTCGTGGAAAATGAAAGCTGTTTTTCGCCGAGGTGGGAGGGAAGAGGGGGCCACATTGGCTCCTTGGGGTTTTAGAAACAATTCAGCAGGTTAATCTGTCACCTCTGCAGCTCTCCCGCAAAAGCAGAAACAAAACCGAACGCCGCACGTGGCCAGTTTCACTTCTCCGCAGGGGGAAAAAAATAAAAATAAAAAATAAGAAGGCTACAGCTAGGTTTGGGTTTATACACAAAGACCTTGCTGAAAGGTGAAATGTTTGCTGAAGCCAAGATTCTCCATGCACGAAGCTTCTCCAGTTCCATATTTTTCTAAAAAATAATAATAAAAAAAAAAAAAGATGAACTATCCAGGGAGAGTTTCACAAATGTAAACCAGAGTTTTGCCCGCGGTAATTAAGCGGTGCCACTCGGGTGCAAGACAGCTCTACCTCTGCATTTTTGGAGCTGCTGATTAACCTATTTTCTGCAGTCTATTTTTCCCCTTCATAAATTAAACAAAAAAGCCTGCTGAAAAGCAACGCCAGCCGGCCAGGCAGCAACGCAAGCGCAGCTCCCCAGCCGCGGATTTTTCTTTGCATTTGACTTTGTTCTTCCAGGCAGAAAGATCCCGGGGAAACGTGCTCGCTCACGGAGCTAGCTAGGACCTTCTCATCTTCCTTACTATCAAATGCTTTGCTTTGAGGCTACGAGGGAACTCGACTTTAAAGAGAACGCCTGCGCGACTGAGAGCAACCTTACGTCGCTAAACGGCGGCTCAGTACCACAGAGCCGGCCGTTCGTTTAGGCTTTTTATGACACACAAATTATTTCAGCAACGAGATTTTAATTCCCCCCCCCCAATCCGTGAAACTGGGGTAGCTGAACACTCCCCGAGAGGGATGCTGGGAGGCTCAGCGAATATGGACTTGTCGACTTAACTCGAGAACTGCACAGAAGGTGCAACCACGGTATTTCCAGCCAGGCACCCAAGTAATTGGGCGTCGCAAGGAGACGAGATTTTAATAACTGAAGTTCTTGCCTACGTGATTCATGCAAGGTCACAGCCAAAGGGGGCTTTTAAGACAGGTACGATACCAGCCGAAAACTAAAGGCTTAATCGAAAAGCAGACCAGCTCCTTGCAGGAACGTTGCTGCAAAGCCTCACCAGCCCGTTCTTTTCCGAGCGCCCGTCCTCCGCCGGCCCACGGCACGTCGCGGGAGGGCCAGCCTCGCGAAGAAGGGGCGATGCCACGCGACCGGCCTGCCGCACAGCGCCGGCCAAGCATCACCTCCTCTTGCAGGGTTCGGTTGAAAACTCAGCTCAGGGGCGCGTGCTTTTGGTGAAGAACAAAAATTTTCACTCCAGCTTCACAGAACGAAGAGCCTGGCAACCCGCACGAACGTTTAATCGGTCATTCAGACACCGCGCGATGCTCTAAACGCCCCGCGTAGAGCAGCGGCGCGCACCAACGCTTACAGACCGTGGAAGCGGAAGCGAACGCGGCCCCGCATGAACAACATGGAGAAGACGCACAAGTATCCGACACGGAAAAACGGGCAAAACAATAAAGTAGAGAACTAACCAGAGAGAGCACCAAGGACTCTGTAACAAGAGGTCAGCAAGAACCTCAGCTCTTTGTCTCGTGGGAAAACTGCCCCGAGAAAGCCTGTATTGCCCAGTGCC